GGGGGGTGGTGGTGTCGCAAATGAGTCAGATTTGGTGTCGCAAATGAGTCCCTTGCCTGATGAATGGCCACGAGTCATTTTGTGTGTCTCTTGATTTTGGCCTGCCGCCTTCCTCAAACCGCTGCTCAGGCTCTCCCTCTTAACGCATCCAGACAAAAACCCTCATGAGGAGGCAGCTGCTGCTGGGAGCTTACTTGGCCACACAGACAGCATTCTCAAGGTTTCTCACCAGAGAAGCCCTGTTTTCAGACCGCCTGCGGCAGTTCGACGAAAAGCGAGCTGACCTGCCGCTGACCTGCCGTTGTTCTCGGAGCTAGTTTCGTTCGCCCCTGAAGACCTAGACCCGACACCCAGCGGCCAAGGCCTTTCGCAAGCTCTCTGAGAGTATGAGGCGAGGCCGATTTTGGAGATTGCTCTTCCTTCGGACGGACGCGCATGGAATGTTCAATTCCACCCCAAACAGATCCAAAAAGTATCCGAAAGAAGAAGTTATAACTTCTAATCCAAACCTTTCGAGCCGTTGAAAGACGTTTTTGGGGTCACATGTTTTTTTCGTTTTAATGTTGGCAGAAGCTGGACCCCCCAAAAGGGGTCTTGTGCCTCAGAGGCATTTCTCTGCCTTCCAATATTTAATTAGTCACGAAAGCTAGCATCAGCTAGCTGGATTTGTCCTATGTTGTCCTTGCTTTGGCAAGTGAGGGGCTGGAATCCTCGAGATCGCCGCATCACGTGAAAACTTCATATGTAGAGGCCCCCCCCCGGGTTCAACTCCCCCCTGGGACGCCTCCACTTTGGTGCAACAGATTCAACAGATTCACAAGCTAAGGTTGGCTGTGTCATTGCTGTCCGTGTGTCTTACATGTTCACAACGTTTTACCTCATGAGCGAGACCTTGTGAACCATCCCTCCAACAGCCCCATGCCTATGAAAAAAGAATTGCCTCACTCCGCTTGATGTCCCACCAATCCTTTGTCACTGGACGGCGCTGTATGCTTCGCCTCCACTGACACGGATGCATCCCTGCTAGCTTTCGACACCTACCCTCGGCCTCAAGCTGAACTCAAGGACTTTTTCAGACCACCATTGGTGGCAGCGAGTACGAAAACATGTTCACCTGAACATCGCAGGGTTCTTTTTGGAGGCCACCGTTGTCAAACGTGCACGAGTTCGGGCTCCGATCTTCGCCCCCCCCATCCGTTCGTTCTTCCGAGGACTCTGACCACGGATGGAGGACAGGAAGAGCTACTGCGCCCTGGCAGATGGGTTTGAACATGGAAGAAATGGGCTTGGAGAGGGCATCGCTACAAACGGAGCAAGAAGCTACTAGGGGCGCTCCTGGCCTTACTACTAGGAGCAAGAGGACGCTACGAGCGGAACAAAGGGCATCGCTACTAGTAACACTGGAGGTTTAAGGCTCCAGGAAGGGCGAACGCCATTTTGAATCAGGTTTTTCGTCTGTCCGAGATGGAACATCCGCACTTCCCCCCTCCGCTTCGGCATCCGATTCCCCGTTCAGGGGCCCTTCTTCTTTGTGAGCAGCAGTTCACTTCGACTTCTGAAGCCATCTGAAGCCGGACAAACAATGGACGAAGCTCCTTCTCTTTGGTTCTTCGGATTAGACCCTTGTTACTAGTTACTAGTAGCTTCTTGTTACTAGTAGCGATGGCCTCCACCCTAGTAGCGATGGCCTCCACCCTAGTAGCGATGGCCTCCAACCTAGTAGCTTCTTGTTAGTAGTAGTAACACCCTTGTTACTAGTAGCGATGCACTTGCCGGCATTTGGGAACGAGAAGACGTGCTCCTGGTCTCTCTTCGGATTCGTCCCGTTTTGGAGGATTGGTCTGTTTTCTGTTTGGGAATTGCCTTGTTTCTCGGTGGAGACTCGCTGGTCATCCAGCCGTTCAAACCAACGTGCTCTCGGTCCATTCGTGTAGATTTTCCGGCACCGAACATGGCCAGCGCGGCTGCCTTTTGGGACAGCTGCTGGTGTTCAAAAGGTAACCATCGCTCTGTTCGCTGTGGGCTGTGCTCCACTCAAAGCCCAACAGTGTCACCGATTAGATTGAGACTTTTGAAGAGGATTTCATTCCACAGGGTGCAAACTGCAATGATAGAAACGAATCCATGATTTCACACTCCAAGTTGCTGGGGGTCTGTACCGGTTGACGTGGTTCATTCTTGAGGGCACAAGCACTAGTAACTAGTAGCCGTAGCATAATTCTGGTGTTTTTGATCTGTGTACGGACTCTTGCGGCAAGTGATAGCTGCAAACAATCGCTCCAGGGAAAGCCTCTTCCCATCATCGCCGCCTCCGGAGCCAGGGGCCCAACTGGATGGAAGGGAGTGGATGTCGCAGAGAATCAACAAGGGCAAAACACGGAGTTGGGTTAACACATATTGGCCCAAAACTGCGCGTTGCTGACATCCCCAGTAGTTTTTGTCTCTCTCTCTCTCTCTCTCGTACTTAGAAGAAGAAAGAAGAAGAAGAAGAAGAAGAAGAATAAGAAGTAGAAGGAAAGAAAAATAGAAATAAGACTACTTGATAGAGAACTTTGGCAAGCTAGCAGGGTTGCCCATGCCGAGAAGTCTTCCGCAGCGCAAACATTTTCCAAACAGAGTTCCTTACCAGAACAAGAACCCAGAGCAAACACACCTTTGCAAGCTATGTTGTAACATTCTGAAGTAGACGTAGCAGTAGATGAGATTCACAGCCATATAGAAACGCAATAGACCATGGTGAAATGGTGACCAACCTGATTGGACACCTGTTTTCACCAAACTGATTGGACCTCTTTGACTCCGGTCCGTTTCTGCAGCCAGGGCTCGGCTCCAGAGAGATGTTCAAGTGACTTCTAGTCTCCCAAAGACTCGTTTCGATTCATGTTGAAGAACTTCTGCAGCTGCCCATGATTTCTTCTTCTTCTTCTTCTTCTCCACTCCCAAGGTCTTTTCCGCGTCGCCACGGTTTTTCGCTCCATCCTCCAAAACCCTCGCTCCACTCCGAACCCAGACGGAGCGACGCACGGGCCACGCCGTGGCCATCGCCCGTGTTGGGCACCGGATGTCGACGCGATGAGTGCCTACTACACGGAGAGGCGGCGACCCAAAGGCGATGCCAGGCAGGGTCGGTGGACCGGTGGGTTGGAAGAGGTGGTTTTCTGCCATGGAAAGTGGTGGAAAGAAAGATGTTGGTTTGGAACCTGAGTAGATGAGGGGCTGCTTCGTCCAAAAACCCGATGGTAGGTTTCTCATTTTGCGTCCCCTTCACACGTTGTCCTGAGCCTCCTCAAGTCATGTACTCGTACCTGAAGAAATTTCAATCTTGCCCAAACACGTCTTCTTTTGAGTTTGAGTGCTCTGTGCTGATGCACATCAGTCTTGTTTTTGGATATCCACATCAGTGTCGTCACATTCATCAGTGTCGTCATAGCTACCTTAGCCTGGCTCATGACTTGTGGCAGAGGGCTGGACTGGCTCCAGGCAGCCTCCAATAGATTCAGTGTTTCAGGTTGTGGACGGGAGAAGGGCTGGAGAGAGAAGCCTAAGGGCCTAGCACCTCTCTGCAGCTGCCTAAAATGGGGTTGTCTTTTTGAGGTGAGAAGGTCTGGAGGCTCTGACTTCTGGAGATGTAGTTTTGATCCAAGTCACTCGACTTGGTCAGCTAGAAGGTGCGACGTGTGCGGCGTGCTTGGACCGATGGGACGGGTGGAACAGGTTGGCTTCGATCCTCGAGCTGCTCGGGCGCTTGGATGCCAGTGGAACTGGAACCTCGACCGATGTGGCCTTCTGGATGGGAGGAAAGCGTCATGCTTTTCATGTATCTGGGGGGTACCGTGGGGTACCCTCCTTTTGAGCCACAGCGTTTGGATGCCACATGATTTCACTGTATGATTGCACTGTCCAACATGGCCAACAAACCAACAAAATGATGTTTAGGAAGTTGAAGTTGCACTGGACACCTTTGCTGTATCGCAAAATCAAGGCCCATGGTTCAGACATGTCAATGTGGATCAGGGGACACGGATTTTAGGAATTTGATGGAATTTGATCCGTCCATATGGTGAGAAGAACGTGTTTTGCCTTAGCATGTCGCCCCCGACATGTGTATGATTCTCCTTTCGAACAAAAAACATCGCTCAACGTGTTTTTTTTTTTCGTGATCCCAACCACTTGGAGAACCTGGAGCGAACACCTTTCGACAACAACGTCGTCGTTTTTCTCTTCGAGGGCTCCTGCAGCGCCAGCGCTTGGTGGCCTTGATCTCTAGCTTGGTTCCTGAGATGACCCCGCAGTCCATTGACTTGCACCTTGGTCGCGACAGCTCACACGTCAGACGCACGGTCGCTGGGAAAACCGTCTTCGCAGTAGTCCAGAAAATGTCTGTCAGTTGCCTTACTTTTCAATGCAGTTTTAGTTCACAGCCTAGGGCCTAGAGTTCACTGTTCCGGTGCATCCAAAAGCTTTCAAATGAAACTCTCCATTCCCCAAAAGATGACCTTGGTTTTGCCTCCAGGCTGATGGACAGCAGTATGCATGCTGACCAGGCGCCCGACCAAGTGACAAATTGAATACTGTAAGTTTCAAGGGTGGAGATACAGTTTGTTCTGAGACACGTAGGCTTCGCAGACTGCGTCACATAAAGGGATGCCAATAATGTAGAACCAGAAGAAATGTTGCAGGGAATCTTCTGATCGAACAACAGCACATCTGTTCTGCTACTGGACGTTTTTGCCGTGAATGATTCCAAAAACAACTCTTCTTGAAACTAGTGTCAGCATAGAGTGCGTTGGCGGCCACTGTCCCAAGTTGGCGAAAGGTTTGGTTGATGTTATCATGGCAAACTCTGAGCAGAAGTCAGGTGGAGATGGTGGAGGTGTGTTTTTCTGTCTTTTTTTCTCAGATTGGACGCGTGCAGTAAATACATAGTGAAAGAACATCAAGTATAGTGGGCACAGCTGCAAGCTGGACCCAAGGAATGGTGTCCGCTCTGCCCAGTACGGCTACCGAAAGCTCCACCGGTCACCGGCCTCCCCGGCCTCTTTCCGGACACAAACCAGTTCACCAACGCAACGAAGACGATGAAGCATCGGTCCGCACTCCGTGCGTAAAGGACCGTTTGGAGGGCGACCCTTTGAGTGGGACCTGAAAAGCCTGTGAGATCTTTGCAAATTTGCGTATATACTGCGCCCAGTTTCCGCGCTTGTCGCATAAGTTCTGGGGATAGGTGGGCAGTGTCCAAATTGGTGGAACATCAGGTGTTTTGATTTTGACACCGTTGCAAAGGAATTGTTTCCAAACAGGCTGACATATACATCCATTACATACTCAGTACATAGCAGTGCACATTTAGATATGGCATATGGCTCAAAAATACATAAGACATTCCAGCATTTCACCTAATTATGCCTACTACTGGATGGCAAGCCACCTCAATGCTCACCTAGTGGGAAACTCAAATCTTATTTTTTAAAATCTGAATTCATTTTTCAAACATGAAGTTAATCAAGAGATCTCAGATCTTTTAACATTTATATCTTTCTATCTCTCTCTGATAGTAACGTTTTCATACGTTTCCATGTATCCATATATGTATATATATGCTGGTGTATTTACAGTACACAGTTTGTGTATATACTGTAATGCATACATATATGTACAAACAATAGTATATATATATGTATACATAGGTTATAGACATATACATATACACATATGTATTTGTTTACTGCTTCGCAGCCTGGCCACCAGGTGAATGTGAGGTATTCGGACTTCCTCGCATGGCTCTTCGAGGGTCTCGGACGGGCCGGGCCGTCGCTCCCGGGCGCCATCTCTGTGGCCACCTGGAATGTGGCAGCAGCGCCTGGGCTCTAGTTGGAGCGGCACATGGGCACACGGGTTTCCTGGGAGTCTGCAGGACGTCCCGCTCTGAAGGGTGAATATTTTTTAAATATAAATCCTTTGGGTGAAATTTAGGGCTTTTGATGTGCCTTTTCTTTATATGTATATATATATATATTTTTTTTTCTTTTGGAGGGACAATTCAAAAAAGCGGTGAACTCTCAAGGAATTGGGTGACCTGGCCTTTTTGAGACAAGGAATTGGCACATGTCTTGACCAAGGGCAATTCTGGGAGACGCGCAGAGTCAGGGTTGTTGAGTCGTTGATGAGTGCTTCTCTTGTCCTCAAAAACCCAACGGCACCGAAGCGCGCACTCCCCAAAAAGGTAAATCGCCTCGCTGGATGAACCGACGAACCGAGGGATCCCGGTTTTTCCTGGGTTCCAGGTGGTTCCATGGGTTTCAGAGCCGAGCCGAAGTCTCCTTTGAACTCAGAATGATCAGAATGTACATCATCAGAGGTTGTATTTTGGCATCAATAAATCAATATAAGTTAATTAGATTTTTTGCAATGTTGTGTCCAGGATCCCATAGCTTTTGTAACAGGGGTTCCACAGGTATTGATTGCCATACCCAGAATATTTGGGTATGGCCTGGGGTTTCACAGGTTCTTGCCATGTCTCCCGTACCATTCACGTTCGACAGGCTACAGATTCTGCACTAGCATCCTAGTGTTTCATTGGTCTGACTGAGGATGCGGAGTGTTTAACCATGGCCGAGTTGGAGTGGTGGATGCAGAACAAAATGGGACCAACATACTGTAACACTTTATTGTTGGAGTGACAGAGTGACATCAACTTTGGGTGCGGCACTGGTGCATTGCGATCTTGAGAACAAGGTCACCTTGTCCATGAGAGACGTTATTGTGATGTACCCAGAGTAGCTTGAACAAGCTTAACCTATCAGCATCAAAGCTGGACTTAGGTGAACAACAACCCATTTGAATATTGGCTGGCGCACGATGATCCGTGTTGCTTGGCAGCCAACGCGACCGCTTGGGTGGCCTTATGGTTGGGTCTGTTTGCGGTTCAGATCAATCAAGTCCTGAAGAGCGCCAAAGCGCTGGGTTCGTTCTGCCAATCACTCCCAAGCACTCTGAAAGACCATCCGGATCATTTCGTTTCATCTCTTTCATCTCATTACAGATGGCAACCATTTTTTTGAGTTGCGCCTTTTGAACCATCTCATTTGAAACCGGACCGTCTTCGTCGTTGGTCATTTTCGACCGAATTTCGGGTCGAGGCTACGTGAATCTGATGGTGGCCATCGAGACCTGCCTCTCATCGCCTTCCCCTTCGTGGGATGTGCCTGTGCGTCTCTTGGATGGGATCATCACCTGGCCATTTGGAGGCTAGCCTCCAACAGAGGATCGCCAGCGGAGGTCCGAGCATTTGGAGGATCAGATGCCTTGAAAAGGTT